ACAAGCAGGGGGAGTGGGAGAGGGAGAAGCAGGCTTCCCGCTGAGCAGGGAGCCCGATGTGGGGCTCGATCCTAGGACCCTGGGATCATGACCTGAGCGGAAGGCAGACGCTTAACGACTGACCCACCCAGGCACCCCAGTATCCCACATATTTTTGATAGGCATTATCATTTAGTTCTAGGATTTAGAAAAATTTCCCTTGAACTGTCCTTTTTACCAATAGATTATTTAGAAGTGTGTTTTTAGGTTTCCAAGTGTTTGAAGATCTTCCTGTTATCTTTCTTTTATTGATTTCTAGTTTGATTACACTGTGCTCAGAAAACATACTCTGTATAATTTTTTAATTCTTTTAAAATGTTGATGTTGGTTTTATGGTTTTATTTTGATTTATGTTCCATGGGCAATTGCAGGGAACGTGTATTTTGCTGCTGTTGGGTGAAGTGTTTTATAAATACCAATTATAACCTTTTGGTTCATGGCACTGATGAGTTCTTTATCATTGCTGAGAGAGGAGCACTGAAGTCTTCAACAGTTTTTATTTATTTCTGCTTTTAGTTAAATCAGCTTTTGCTTTACATATTTTGAAGCTTTGTTGTTTGTGCATACACATTTTAGGCTTGTGATGTCTTCTTGGTGGATTGAGCCTTTTATTGTTATATAATGTCCCTTTCTGTCTCTGGTAATTTTCTTTGCTCTGAAGTCTACTTTACCCAATTTTAATATAGACACCCTTGCTTTCTTTTGATCAATTTGCATGGTGTATCTTTTTTATTCTTTACTTTCAACCTACCTATGACATTGAATTTGAAGTAAGTTTCTTGTACACAGGATACAGTTAGGTAGTTTTTTTATTTTTTAATCCACTCTGTCAATCTTTGTCTTTTGACTGGTATATGTAGATCATTTGTAATTAAAGTAATTTTTGATATGTTAGACCTAAAGTATGCCATTCTATTATTTGTTTTGAGTTCCCCCCCCCCCACTCTGGTTCTTGTTCCTTTTTATTTGCCTTCCTGTGGGTTAAATACTTTTTAGAATTCCATCATGATTTATTTATGGCATTTTAGAGAGATATGCTTTCCAAATATATAGTTTTTGTAGTTGCTCTAGTATTACAATATACACATATATAGTATCCCATTTCATTAGTATCAACATCCTACCACTTCAACTGAGTATGAGAACATCATTTCCATATAAGTCCTTTTATTTTTCCCACTTTTAAATATCATTGTCTTGAGTATCAAATGATGCTATAATTTTAGTTTCAGGCATTAAATATGACTTATAAAACTCATGAGAATAGTGTATCATTAAGTATTCTTATTTCTTTCTGTTGTCTTTTCTTCCTTCCTGATGCTCCAAATTTCCATCTTTTAGCATTTGCTTTTTGTGTAAAGAACTTCCGTTAGCTAACCTCTAAGGGTATACCCGTTAGTGACAAATTCTTAAAAGTTTCCCTTCATCTGAGAATGTCCTCATTTCCCCTTAATTCATGAAGGATAGTTTCACTGGATATGGAATTCTGGGTTGACAGTTCCTTCAGCACTTGTAGAATGTGCCACTTTCTTCTGGTCTCTGTGGTTTCAAATGATAAATCTGAAAATTGGTGTTCCCTTATAAGAAGGTGTCAGTTTTGTCTGCTTTCAAGATCTTTCTCTTTGTCTTTGGTTTCTAAACATTTAATTAAGGTGTATTTTTCACTTTTATCTAGTTTGGGTTTTACTCAGCTTCTTGAATATACAGATTTGTGTCTTTCATCAAATTTGGGCCATTTTCAGCCACCATTTCTCTGAATACTATTTCAGCTTTACCCTCTCTTTTTTGAACTCCAATGATACAAATGTTGGGTCTTTTGTTATTACCCCACAGGTCCTGACCTATATTCAGGGGTTGTGGGCCCATGGACCATTTAATTTTCAGAGACTCTGTGGTGCTATTTTGCTCTGTTCTCAGCCAGAGAACCCTCTTTGTCCCTCAGGCTTTACGTTCCCTTGGCTCAGTGCTTTTTGTGATAGAGGCTTCCTGTCCACGCTGTCTGGCTGTCTCAGAGTCTGTGTGGGGAGGGGAGTCTTATACCTGCTGGGGCAAAGATGTTTCCCAGGCTGAGCTGCTTGTTCTGACTGGGTCCTCTTTCTGTTGTTGCCTGGCTGTTCTGGTATCTCCCAGCAGGGAAGGGGGGATTTCAGGCTGCAGGAAAGGATAACTCTCCCCTTGGCCACTTATTATTGGTGGGGCACTCATCTATCCCACTTGCTGGTGGCGTCTAGCTTACCTAAAGGTGTCAGAGGGACTCTGATTGATCAGGGGGGAAAACCCACATATCTGGGCTGTCTTCTGTTGCTAGGTTGAGAAAGGTCAGGTCTTGGTCTCCTTTTTCTTTTGGATGAGGGGAGATAAGATGCTCAGTTATTGTTGTTTCTCTAGTCGTAGAGTTCTGAACCAATTCACCTTCCTCTTACCACCATTTAGAATTCCCCTTTGGTTGTCTTTTGTATTATTTCCAGGATTTGTAGTTGTACTTAGTGGGGAGGAGATGGGAGACACAAGTCTACACCACTTTCTCTGGAACAAATTTTTAGCTCAATTATTTTTTTTATTTGTCATAGCTTTCTGAATTATTTCCAATACTGGGTTATTATTTTTTTATATTAGAGATATCTAGCCGTTTCTATAACTTAGTAGAGTTTGGATTGGTTCTCATGTATATAACTTTAGTCTGCTTTATTATGGAGGAAGTTTTATTATCATCCCTATTTTAAGGTGAAAGGCTGAGAAAAAAAGAGCCTAGGGTCAGAATGAGGCTCTAGCTGAATGTACTCACCATGTAGGGCTACTGTGAGCATTAATGAAATAATGCATTGATTAGCAGAGCATGCAAGTGCCCAGTGAATATTAATGTTAACTTTCTTCTACACAGCCCAATTTTTTCCTTAGTTGTTTAAAGTTCCTGGGGCAGAAACAATCTGTTGTTACCTTGTATCCCTAGGGTCTAGAATGGTACCTGGTAATAAAAATTAAACTGCCTGAATAGCATTTATATCATTTGTAACACCTTCATCTCCCCAAGACATGCTCCTTCCCTCTTTCCAATTTTGTTTGATCTCCTTGTGATTTCAGTTTCTTGTTTGAATTAGCTAGCTCATCTATAGCTTTCCTCCTCCTCTATTTGCTGTGCCTACAAGTGGTAAGCTTCTCTGAATTCATGTATTTTGATAATTGTTTCTCAGTCATCTCATTCTTGAACAAAGATATAAAATGTTTCTTTTCTTCCTGAAAATCTTTAACAATCACAGCCCCTGTGACTTGGAAGAGTATTTCTTTATACCATCCATTTTACTTGCTTAGAAATGGGACTACCTCCTAACTACAGGTTTTTAGGCAACTTACTCACTCTTCATAACAGATCAAGAAGCTGCAAGAAGTTCTAAATTTGATTCCAAGTTACTGTAATTTAAAATCAAACCTATATGTAAATAATTATTTAAATATTAATGTCTCTAAAATCTGCACTTTATATTGTCATGTAAAATAAAACCAAACTCCAGAAAACGTATTTACTTTGCCCTAACAAATTAAATAAGTTAGAAAAACACTTTGAACTATCTAAATATGTATGTATGCCCCAGACACACGATGCACAATGAGAACACATCTTATACAAAGTTAGGAACAATATACATCTGATACCATCCTCTGTGTATGTTTCTTTGGGACTTCAAAATTTTCCCAATTATACACCTTCTGCCAAGTCTACCACACATCTGACATTATGCAGAACTGACACTCAAGGAGTTCACAGTGTTTAAAAAAACCCACAAACAATAAAGATGGAAGGATTTATACTCACAGGTGGCTCAGAAAATGAGTAGGACTCATATTTGGGGCAGACAGCACAGAACTCAAGAGAACTCTTTCTTTCAGCAGGAAACTTAGCTTATGAGATATCCTGATAACCAGAATAGATAGTAAAGAAAGTTAACATTTTACCTAACTTTATTATTCAGTTTTTTTTGTATTAAAATACGCAGTTTTCAAAGACTTCCTCTCAAGCCATTAAAACATGACCAGGTAGGAAAATATCAGTTAAACACTACCATAATTTTGATTAAGATACATAATATTCTTAGAGTTTCTTTTCAACAGACAAAATATGCCAGTGGTTCAAGGACACGTTAGATCCTTTCAATTCAATGTCATGCCATGAAAGGTAGAAAAACACAAAGTGAGATAATTCCTTGAATCCAGTGTTTTTAGTTGATTGAGACTCTTTTTTAGCAGCAAAAGTATCTTTGTATTTCTGTAAAATATAGAGAGAAATTAACATCAGTGTTTCTGTACATTGCCCACATATAATCAGTGACATTTCTGACAGTGGAGTTGCTAGTCTTCAGTGTTCCATTAAAGCAAATCACTTTTTCGGGACTAAGGTAGTTTATGATTTTTGAATTTCTATGAAATGGTGGTTAAACTTACACAGAGTGAACCTCAATGAATTTCGAGAAGGCAAATATGCAACAGCCATGAGAAACCAGTAACATTTAGTAAGTTTATATGACTTTGGAAGTACTGATGTGTTGGGGTGTCTGAATCCAGACACCTTGGGATATCTGGACGTGCCTGGGGTCAACTGGGTACTCTGGTTAGAATGGTTCAAATTTAGATAAGAGAATCTCATACAATCAATCAAACTGAGTTAATGGTTCTCTTGATATGAGAATATAGACTATATCTGATTCTAGGAGCAAAATGAAATCATAATGCCTAAGAAAATGAAGACTATGTGTCTAAAGCATGACTTGTTTGGTAAATGATAAGATTAGGAAAATATAAAAGAAAAAAAAACCCCTCTTTTTCTAGAAAGACTGACCAGGGTCTATGACTAGAAGTTCAAAGTTCCAATTCAATATTAAATACATCTTATAAAATTTCCAGTGTGAAGCAGAAACTGGGTTCATTAACTAAAACAATTCTACAAAAGGGCAATATTGCTCTGATGGGATTGTTAATGCTACAGAATTTTTTTTTTTTATTTAATAGACAGCATGGACTTCATACATATCCATTATCAGTGCTTCGAAAACCAAACAACTTTAAAAGTTAGCAGCAGTTTCTGCAAGTACAAAAATACACATTTATTACATTACATATGGTAGTAAAATTTGTCAAGATATATTATACAAACTCAAAGCATTTTAGATAAAGCATCAGTCTAATATATTATAGATTGACAGAGTATAATAAAATGACACGTAGTCTGTCTTCCAATCATACAATATAATACTTTACAGCAATATTAACAAACTATTCACATTAAGTATTACAGGAGTATCTAAGGGAACACAGGGAATAGGAATGGTTATGGAAAACCTCAGCATCTATTTTCTTCTATGCTTCAAATTGGGTGGATAATTTTCTACCCAACCATATGAATGAAAAAAAGGAGAGAACTATTATTTTGTTAAGTGGAGAAACAAGTTCTTCCAGAAAGACACTCCAAGCCGTAAGAACTTTTTTCACATCTTGCAGTTCCGACAGTAGTATGCCCTAAGGGTAAGGGGAATGAATCCCTGTTGCCTTTATATATTATACCACAAAAGATGCATATGGACACTCAGGAGTCTAAATATAGGAGTGGCTGTTTATAAGGTAAAATCTACTTCACATCTGTGACTGAGATGGCCAGTGTCATGAAGGAGCTCTTTGGATACAGAGTTCTGAGAGTTAATTACAATGCTTAGGGCCAACAGGGCCATGTCCCGTAGAGGTAGGCATCATGTATAGCTAATACTGAAAGGACTTCTACTTTACAGAAAACATTATTATTTTTTCTATAACTGAAAAATGCAACCTTTAGGACAACAGGGAAAGAACATTTGACATGAAAGTTTTCTAGTGGCCAAGAAAAATAATTTGGTATAAGTTAGTTTGTGGGAGAAAGGTCCATCTGATGGTGAACTAAAGAGGCCAAATGGGTTCTAAGGAACTTCTTATAAGTAAGTAGTTACAATGAAGGAAGATGCACATCCATTCCTGATTCTATCCCTCCGTACTGGCTGGTGAGGCCTAACCAATCCATGGAGATAACCCAGGGGATATACTGGTATAATCTTTAAGGCAAGAGAGGGGAGAAGTATTCATGGATATGAGATAAACTAATGGAATATAAACCATGAATCATCTGGGACAAAAATATGTAAAACTTCTGGAGGTGAGAAAATCCAAAGCCAATGACTGTCTGAGAAGACCCGACTGCTGCTTTGGTGGGCGTTCCATTCTGTGACTCTTTATAAAACCTGCCAACTTAAAATTACTCAACTGCCAATGACAATCAGAAAAGGGACAATTTATCAGTAATTTTTCTGGCTCGCTAATCTAAGAGGCAGGGCTGTAGAAAAACATTTTTCAGCAAAGAGGGGCCATGCTTTGGTCACATGTTGGCAACAACTTCGTGTAACAGAGAAAGGACTGGTTTGGCGATCTTTTCCTCCACACTAGGATAATGAATGCTGTCAGGAGGTCACCTTCTAATAGGAAAAGTTGCATTTCTGGAGAATGTCCCTAAGCACAGCACCTCTGAAAAGGATATCGAAATGAGCAACCTTTCCTTCTTTCTCCTCAGAGCTCTATGTCCTGGAGCCTTTGCAGAGCAGTGGAACACCAATGGAAAAATAAATCAATGAAACAACCAACAAATAAACTATGATACTCATGGCTGTTGAATCATTCTAGTTTATTCCATTCTAGCTGCATCGATGGGCTGATTCCTGGAATCTTCCTGTGAGGGCATATGACTATAGAATGTCACAGAAATGCCTACTAGCTTGGATTCAGGGAAACGTTTTACATGATTTCCTTCAATACTGGACATGCTTTCTTTTTTTTTTTTTTTTAATACTTTAATGATTAGTGGCATTTTTCTTGCGTAGTTATTGAAAACATTCCATGGAATGTGTATGTTTCTCTGCACCCTTCCCCTCTCTCCACAGTCCTTATTCTTCACTTATGATATCCTGGCCTTTTCAGGATACTAATCTCATGTAAGGCATGTTTCCTCTACAGAAGATGTTTTCTCTGGCTCTCTGCTAATACCTCTAAAAACACATGACGGGACCGATCCCAGGCTCTAATAAGGAAAAGCCTCCAGGTGATGAAATTTTTTAGTCTAAACGTGTTGCCAAATGGTCTCAATAAAGAGAATTCTTTTGTTGTCCTAAGTATTAGCAGTGATTATCCTTATGCTACCCATCCCATGTATTTATACAAAGGGGTCATAATAATCTTGTCTTTATATCACTATTAGCCCAGTTTCTGTTCTTGTAGACATCAGATTCTTAGACTTGTCTCTGTCCTTATACACATCACATTCTTACTGTGGTTAAATGTCTTTGGCTAAATGTTGGTCCCCAGTATCGCCAACCACTGTAGGCTCTGTGTCTGGGCTGGACAGATCATCCACAGACAAAGAGCTGGGTGAGGATCTCTTACAAGGCAGAGTACCAGGAGAGCACTGCTCACTATTCTCTCCATCCTTGTGTGACTTCGCACAGAGCTTGAGTCTGTCCTCCACTAGGCTGAATGGAGACCTACAGTGTCTCTCTGAGTCCTGGCTGGGGTAAGAACTGTACCACTGGGCTGTTTGCACAGTTCCAAGTTCTTCAGGTGCCCTTTGGGGCATGTCTTTCTGTCTCTCTTGTACTGGGTTGGCTTCTGATATACCAGGAGCATGTGGAGATGGCTCCATGGGTCCTTTTAGAAAACTTACTTTCTTTTCCTCTGGTCTGGATGCCCTTACCTTCTTTTTGAGGGACCAGTTTTTCAAACTGGCCACACCATTTCTCAACCATGTGCTTGGGTGAAGAGTTACAGAATGTATTTGTGAATGCCATTCTACAGTATCCTTTTTCGTATAAGCCAGGCGGCTGCTGGCCTGCCCTGATGAGGGACCAGGAGTTGCAGAAATGAGGCTGGAATTGCTAAAATCAGAAGAAAGCTCTTCTTGTTTTCTTTGAGCTTGAAAAGTGCAATCTATTGGAGAGGAAGTTTCAGTGGGGGTAAACACAGAGTGTTCAGAAATCTGAGAAAAAGCACTGTCTTGGGAGCTCACTGATGAGCCAGATGGGGAAGTTCCTGGGGAGGACAAGCTGGAATAGCTAGTCCTTGGGCAGATGTTTAATCTTGGGGGTAAACCCTTCTCAGTGTTTTGGTTTGTGCCACTACTCTTGCCCACCTCAATCCCCATGACCAAACTCTGATTAATGAGCTTTTGCCCCTCCATCTGCAGTGACTTGTGCCGCTTGAGATAATCTTCTTCTCCATGCAAGAGACCAGCTTCATAGCTAGTTTTATGTTGTTTCTTTGAATAAATTCCCCTGAGATAGGTCAGTTTGCAGTGCTGGTCATCCATGTTGGGCTCTGAGCAGCGCCGGTGCCTCCTTGAACCCTTGAGGGCATCTGCTGTGTTTGGTGGGGAGTATCCAGATGTATCTGCACCAAAGGGCTGGTTCCTGGGATGATCCTGTGAGGATATGTGACTATAAGATGCCACAGAAATGGCCACTGGCTTGGATTTAGAAAAAAGTTTCACATGATTTCCTTCATTACCAGATAAGCTTTTCTTCTTAACATTTTTATTAGTGGCATTTTTCTTGGTATCAGTGCCTGTGACTAAACTCTGTTTAAAATAGGTCTTACCCTCTTCCTGGAGGGGTTGATTCTGCTTCAGATAATCCTCATCTTTTTGTGAGAGAATTGCATCACAGCTGGACTTGCGTAGCTTTTTCTGATAAAATTCCCTGAGATAGGAAAGCTTAGAATCTAGATAATCGATGCTGGGCTCTGAGCAGCGACGGTGTCGCCTCAGACTTTTCGGAACATCTGCTGCAGCTGTGGACAGGTAGCTGGGTGTGCTCATGCCAGATGGGGCCCTGGCATGATCGCGCAGTGGGACCTTTGCGTACGCTACTGCAATGTTCACTGGCTTGGATTCACGAGGCCGTTCCATCTGAATGTCTTCATCTTTAGAACGGTCCAAGTCAAAGTCGCTCAGGGTTAAAAGGCCTTCCACCTCAGGCTGGTCGAGGTCATAGTCACTGAGGGTTAATACAGAGTCCATGCTTCTGCTACCCTGACCAAGTTTCTTTACCAAGTCACTACAAGGAGCATCAACATCCTCATTTAGCTCATTTTCCAAGCTGTCATAGGAGGAGTCATTCAGTTGGAAGCAAGAGATATCTGTCAAAAAATCAAACCACAATTAACATTTTTGCTTACCAAAAATACATGCTGCCTTAAAAAAAACAATCTATGGTACTTAGTTTAATTTTCTTTTTATGGAGATTGTTCAGATTCCTACTCTTAGAAAGGATCTTTTTCAGTCTTCCCAGAATAAAAAAAATATGTTGAGTTATATACTGAATTTATCTCAGTTCCTGAAGAAATAGGCTTTCTTAATTAAGATCTCCTCAAAGCAATAAGGACATGCTGTTAATACCAAGAAATGGTACAAAATATAAAGGAATGAATGCGAGGTATATGCAGGTTCATGATTGTGGGTGAGCACACATGGTTTGGTCTCAGAGGAATCATTTACTAACCCAAGCTCTTCAATGTTCACTACTTTATTTAATCTTTCCAACAACCATAAAAGTTAGACATTATGGTTACCCATATTTATAGATGAAGATATTGATGTTCAGTGGCAAAAATGGTTATATGCAACTAATGAATCATTGAGCACTATACCAAAACCTAATGATGTACTATATGTTGCCTAATTGAATTTAAGTAAAAAAAAAAAAAAAAGAAGAATTGGTCAAAGATAACTAGTAATTGGTGGTCTGGGAATTCATATTCTGGAAGGTTGAATGGTTTCAAAATCCCCCCTGGCCCCACAGTGTTAGTTGTTTCTAAACTGTTTCGCAGCAGGCTGAAGTGTCTCCGGGCCACTCGAAGGAGAAGGGGGGAGAAGACCAAGCCCTGCCTCTACGTCTTCAGGGACTTCTTACTCTAGTTTCAGCCACAGAAGTTCTACTATATATGTTAGGGATCCTTGTAAAGGTTTTTTAAAAAAAGGTTAAAAACATACCATATGATGCTTCTGGAAGTTTTGGACCTCATCTTACACATTTCTTAACCCCACCACTGTGTTAACATGACCTGACCTATTAGCAGGTCATCCAAGGAGGAACAGAAACCCTAGGCCCACGACTGAAGTCAGAGGTTTCCTTGACTGAGCTGCGGCAGGCCCCAGGACACTGTCCCAGCATTTTCACAGGCACATGTCTGTTTCTCACAAAAACCAATCCAATTATTCACAATACCTGAGGCATTCTCTCTAGTATCACATCTCACTGAAACCTGTCCCAAGAGGGAAGTGATTTCTTCTCCAAATATCCTACAGCAATTTTCAATCAGAAATTGTATAAGCAGAGAAACCTGCACAAAAAAGGACAAAAACAAAGTGCTACTTTCCATATAGAATGTCTATAAAGCACATTTCATATATAGTTCCTGATTTTACCAAAAATGAAAAAGAATCCTGAGAAAAACTCATGTCTGCTTTAAAAATATACAAAACAGTTCCCCCTAAAAAACTATGATACTTGCAAGAGTAGTTTGGGTGTAGATATTAATTTTAATTGGTGGACTAAAGTTTCTTGTGGCCTTAGCTCAATGTTAACATTTTTTAATACTAATGCTACATCTTCAAAATTAGGGTAACTTGGGGCCCCTGGGTGATGCAGTCGGTTAAGCATCTGACTCTTGATTTCGGCTCAGGTCATGATCTCAGGGTCGTGAGACTGAGCCCCACATTGTGCTCCTCACTCAGCATGGAGTCTGCTTAAGATTATCTCTCTCCAGCTCTGTCCCTCCCCCGGCTCTCTCTCTAAATAAATAAAATTTTTAAAAAATGAAATAAAATTAGGCTAACAAAGTATTCTCTACAGGGCATTTGGGGTAAAGAAATAAACTTTCTTATTAAAATTCATGAAGTATCATTAGGTAAAGACTTATGAAATGTATTTCATATATAAAAGGCAGTCGTCATAGCGTGGGAAGTGGGCATCCTCTGTGGGTTTCCTGTGAAGTAGGGAGACAGCTAGAGAGAAAACTTGCATTTTGCCTCACTAGTCTCTACCTATGTGATTCCTTCCCTTAGGCTCCATGGAGAAGGTGGGGGAGGAGGTAAGATTTTATGCGGGAGCTCTGTGCCTCCACTGAGATGCAGTGGAACGTTTCCTTAGGTTCCTTGCCCCAGTAGCTGAGGCGAAGGATCAGGCAGAGTGTTGGGAGCCACAGGAACTAATATTCCTAAGCCCCCTCTTAACTACCAGGCACTAGAGGGGTGGGATTTCAAATAACTGCAGTATGAACTAGGTATAATCACCACCTCCATTTTTTAGATGAGGAAACTGGATCAACAGAACTAATTGCATCCAAGATTGTACATCTGGCAAGTGGTGGGGCTGAGGAATGGCTTGTCTAAGTCCAGAGTCCTTTTTTATTAAATCATATCATCTGCTTTCTTATATAACTCTAAGGTTTAAGTCAGTCATAGTGTTTTGCCTCCTTGAAGGTAAAAGAGAAGTAACCCAACTGCTATCTCTGTTTTGCTCAAGAAATCCTATCCAGAATAGGATAAAATACTCAGTACACTCAAATTTATAAGGAGGTGTATTTAAGTTATTTCAGAAAATATCTTTCAGAATTAATACCCTGAATTTGAGGTTCAAAATGGGAACTCAGTCCCCCAGGGCATAAAAATGAAAAACTTCATTACCTTTTTTGTAAATTCATTTTCTAGTTCTGGGCTGGAGGAAGTAGGAGGCCAAAGAATGCTTGGAGCAATACACACCGCTAAATTAAATGCAGTCATCTGATTGGATGAGGAATGCTGCTCAATGTTGTGTAATATCCCAAAAAGATACCTTAGGAGAACAACATTGGCTCTCGGAAGCTGGTCTAATAGCCTAAAGACAGAAAAACGCACTCTTTAAGAAAGACATTTCATAAAAAACTTGTGTAGATAAGCAACCCTTGCTTTTCATGGGGAACCATGCAAAGCAAGAACACAGTTCAGATATGCAAGAGTTTCAGTTAATATGGTACATGCAAAGTAGGGACTGCCTATACAGAAAGAATGAAAATATGTACTGGGGATTTATTCATTTATTTTGGACACTGTCTTCACAACCCAATGAAGATGCAAAAGAATGCAGAAAAATGCCTTGTAAAAAAAAATGCTGCCTGCCTGAAATATTGACCTGAAATTAGTGCAATGTGTTTTAATTTAGGCAAATCCTGTAACATTTCAGAATATTCTCAACCAAGACCCCCCCCCCCAAAAGCTTTTTGATGAAATTAAACAATTAAATTTTAGTGGTTCTATACTTCTAAGTAGCAATACAGGAATTCTGTCTCTTGGTGAGAACCCAAACCTTAACTATTAAGACTTTCAGGTCCATTCTGACAGCTTCTGTTCTGCTCAACCCAGCTTCCAATGTCAATTTTGTCCCAAATTTCTTTTTCTCACTGGTATCACTTTAACATATAAGTCAAACTTATAATAGTACATTTCCTACTGTTCCTATTTTGTAATTGATAAGGGATTTTAAAATTATTATTCATTGAAAATTATATTGACTACCATCCAGGAAAAAGACATATATGTTGATATTCATGGTTGTTTTTTTTTTTTTTTTCAACAGAAGTCTGCAACCTGGGAGGGAAAATAAGGTAATGTGACTCTTCCTGCTGCATAAAGAGCACAGAGGCCTTCCTTCAGTGTGACGGACTGACACTGAGGATAGTTTTGTAAGGACAAGTTATAAAAGATATTGAAATAAAACGAGAGATTCCTGAGTGTATTCAATGGAAAGTAAGGTGCTGTCTAGCATACTCTTCTGGGTTATCTGATTGCATAGGGGCCCTATGCCTTTGAGCTATTTTACAACTCTGTAAATTGTAGACTTCTGATAGCACTGCATCTAACACTTGTCTGTAGACTTGAAAATTCTGTCTGGTGGAGAGACATGATTTATTTGCTCCCTCTTCATGCTCCAATAGAAAAAGCCAGTTTTGTATCTATGTGTAAATTCATTTCAGCATTTCTGATGCAACTATGTTAGTTGTGGTAGTTTGAAATCTTTGAACTGATGGTAACATCTAACTGGTTCTCTCATTAATTAAAGATTTAAATAAAAATTTTCACATGTGTTCATTTTATATTTGTATGAGTCTTAATTTTACTTTTTTTTTTTTTTTTTTTAGTCAACCTTTAACAGTTTGTAGGATACACAGTTTTAGACAATGAGCAACAACGCAGAGAAGCTGATGGTCATTATCTCTGCATGGCTTCCACCGAACCATAATGGAAGCGTAGATAGTATGTGTGATGTGGCTTTGATTTCTGGTGTCTTTAACAGTTGTACTAAGTTCTACTGATAAAAGGTGTCTACCAATAGCAGTGTATAAATAATAATTCATATTTGAAAGTTGCTCAAGAAAAAAACTGTACTAAACAAGCATATGCAGATAAATGATATTAGGATTCTTGGGTTTTTACAGAACTGGGAGTATTGCATTTTGTTAATGGACACTTCTTTCCAATTCTCTTATAATGCACGAAACATTCAGGAATATGGGTGGTGAGTTCTGCCAGCAAGCTCCCTTTGCATTAGAATAGACAATGCATTCTTTGTGATAAGACTGAGGCTTTGCAACTCACTTTTTCCTTTACACTTTTCAATAGTTAACTGTCCGTCTGCAGTACCCTCCTCCATATCTCTTCTGTAGCACTGATTATGCTACACTGTAATTCTTGGTTTCTCTATCTACTCTACTAAGACTGCAAGTTCCTTGAGGAGAGGGAATTTTCTCCATATGAATTCAGTTGCTGAATGAGATATACAAGGAGCTGTCTGGTTAGTTAAGTATTTACCAAAATTAAGATCATAAATTGTAGAATGAGTATATGATAGTAGTTATTAGTTTAATGGGTTTCAGCTCCTATCAGATTCAGATATAGAGGAGGTGTACAATGGTCAAGTATTCTATGTTAATAAGATTAGGGAAAAACAATAGTAACAATGATAGCAGCTAGCATAAACCTGGTCCTCATGGATATGACTTTGATAGTCATCATTACTTGAATCGACAAGCTTACAAAATATGTTTTTTTAAAGTATTTTTGAGACATGACTAAATTAGAATAATTACCTTTGAATTGTATTTATTTTCTCTTCATCATTTCCTTGATCCATGACACAGACCCAGTGATCATAGAGATCTGATGAAAAAATACTTCCTGGAATATTTCGTAGAAAATCCTTACACAGAAGGGAAATAAATATTTTAAGTCATTATTTTCATGCTAAATATGTACTGGGGAAATAAAAAAGCAAACATTTCGTTGAAAAGTTAAGTCTTCCCTTCTTTGGAGTACATGGAGCTCTGTGCCAACTCTCCACGGTCGTGCACACGTAGAAACACAGGCTTTGATTTTTTTCTAACAAAAACCAGAGGAAATTGGAGTCTGGACTATAGTGGGAAAGATAAGGACAACCTGTTTGGGCTGCAATCTCGTTTGTGTACGTTTTAGCCAACTAGGACAACATGACAGGGTCTGGCAAACCATCCTAAGTCCTTTATATTTCCGCTCTCAAATCACCAGTTCAAAGAAATGCACTAAGATGTTTGTGAGGTTCCTAATGTGGTAGTCAGTCATCTGATCATTCTACACATATTTGCTCCAATGTGCCAGGTACTGTTTGAGGGGCTGAGGACAGAGAAGTGAGTAAAACAAAGTCCCTGTTATTTTGGAACTTTATACTCCAGTGGCATTGGTGAACAACTCCATCCAGAGGCCCTCGGAGTTTCTCCTGGCATTCCCCTCATGTATTTCGAGACGGGGGAGTAAGCATTCCAGGCTATGTGTGGCTGGGCTCTGGGGGCCTGGGACAGCACCCACATGCCTGATGCATACTCAACACGTCCCTGGTACATTATCCTCTGAGACCCTAGTCTGCTGAGACTGCCGGTGGGGCTGGGTGTGGTGAAACCAGACTAGATCACAAATAGGATATGACCAAGGGTATTTGTTGTTTGATTTTTGTTTCTAAAAAGCTTAAAAATAAATTAAATTTGGTACTGGTCCTATATTCATTTGTGTTCTAGGCCAACTCTCTGTTGCTTTTGGCATGGTATGAACAAGGCCAGGCTTACAAAGTCTGATCTCTACCTCAGTAAACATTAGGCAGAAAAAATTCAACTTCAGATCTAAGCACTGTACCCACGGTCTTGCAAGTTCCTGCTTACAACATGGAGACAGGTGAAAGTCTGCAATTAAGCAGTTTTAACTCTCGCTAGAAAACCAAGTCAGCAACTTTACCTACGTGCCTTACAAACGGCAACACACAACCTGTTACTCTTGTGTCATGTTTCTATCACTACCAGGGAAGCTGTGGCATCTGATTGTTACACTTTGCTGATCAGGTGTGCATCTTCCCCAGTATGAGCTCCTCCAGGGCAGGCATAGACCCTACCTCTTCTTTGTACACCTCAATGCCACACACAGTCCCGGACACAGTAGAGGTCATTACTGAACTGGTGCTATTTTTCACATGGCCACATATTGATGAGGAACAAGGGAAGGCCAACTAACTGTAACTGAGATTTTACGATAATTTAAAACATCTCTTGTAGTCATGTCACCTATTACCACACATTTTTTTAGAACGGTTAACAAGTAGGAAGAGACTACTTCAAAGTCTTTCTCTGTTCTATTATATCTTCTGTAGAAATGTACCTGGATACTTGTAATTGAGATGTGTCATCACAAAAGTCATCTCCTTTTGGGTAAAGCTATTGAATTTTCATAATTCCAAACTAATTTTAGTTGCTGCACTTACTTTAAAAGTCAGATTTAGAAGAGGCAAAATTTGTTATTTCAAAGTGGGGCAGTGACAATAGTTCTCTTTTTAAATCTCAGTGGAAAACATACTTATGATCTGTCTTGAAGAAAAACATCATTAAATCTTAAACCTACACTTGAAAGATAATAACCCGTAACATCTCAATGAACTCTCCACAGCTGGAATAACAAGTTACGAAATACAACCACCATCACAGCTGAGAAAGGATGTGAGCGCTGGTTCTGAATGACAATCACCAGCTCACAGCACTCAACTGCAAGTCTCCGCCCCTCCAAGAGCAGAACCCAGGTCTTCAGCAGAACTCCCAAATTAATTTGAGATCAGATTCCTGCAGGATTAAAAATGAACTTTTCCTCAAAGGTCTAATGGATCAAAGTTACAGTGTCTCAAGCAATTTTCTTCCCATAACAGTTTAAAGAATTAAGCTTGTATTTAAGCAAAACCAGCACAAGTAAAAAATTAAAGGAAAACTTAAGTACCACTTCCAAATAGTCTTAAACACAAGAAACAAACCAAACCAAAAGCTCAAAAATGTTTGGCACAAAGTATCTTCTTTCCTGCAACCACTTGGAAGAAATGAGAGTAACACACAGTTAGTTACCCGATTACAAAACTTCAATTATTTGGAACCCATTTAACCAGATTTTTCAATCATTTTTCTTTTGCTTATTTTTGTACCAGTGATATTTCTGCAATTTGAAATACAATTTGACTCCTCTAGAACCGTATTTCTTGATAATAGCTTCAAAAATACAAAATTTTAAGTGTGGTGCTGTGAAGAATAGCATAGTAAGGAAAATATTCGAAAATGTAGGCTTTAACTTTTTAAATTAAGAGATGGGAAAAAGCCTAGTTATATGAAGGAAAAAAAAGAAAAATTCATTGTGCACATATATCCACACATACATCTGGCTAAGCACACCGTACATATCTTTATTGTATTTCAGAATTGAAGAGTAGTCACAAACCCTGGGCAAAATAGATTAGATGAGCCTAGCTCCAGATCTCCATTTTTTTGACTGATACTTTATTGCAAAAGTTTACAGCAGGGGTTAAGAGCAGACATGGCTCATTTGCCAGGAAACATCTGATCATTCATCAAGTCATGAAGTAAGATTCTGTAAGCAGCTGAGCAGGAGGAGAGACATGCAAGGGTCATCTTCACCATGTTTTCCTCCACCCCTGGCCCTGGTGCATTCCAACAGGGCTGGGAGATGGGAGCCTGAGACAGGTCTGCAGAAGCTATGGCTGGGGTTGAAACCTCTGCTAAAAGCTGGTTCTGACTCTAGGTTTTCAAAACATGTGAGGCATTTTCAAGAATGTGAGGAGGAAAACATTTTAGAAGAGTTCTAACTCAGCTTTGGATGTGAGTTAAGTAACCATGGGGTAAAGGGTAAGAATCATAAAAAATGCCAAATGTGGTAAGGGTTTTAGAAAAGACCCAGATGTTGGAGTCATTCCTACTCTGCTTTTACTTTAAAAAGGCACTAGGGGACAGGGGAAGGCATGATGATTGTATAAGTGAATGGAATTTTCAGTGGTCTCAGTGAGCAATTTTTTGTTTTAGTTGTTAGGCAAATGTTTATTATGATAAACTCTATTTCAAAGTTTAATACAAGTTTATTTTTGAAAATTTGCCTTTATTAGGAAGGTAATGAGATTGTGAAGAAGTCATCACAATCAGGATGTTTATTTTGGTAAATATGCTGTGTGTGCTTTATTTTTAATTTAGTTTAATTTTTTTTTTTTTTGTATGGGGTGGCAGAGTGAAGATGAGAGTGGCGTGGGATGAAAAAATTTAAAAAGCATATCTGACATGCCATATCATTGGCAGGGGCTTTTAAAGGCCAATGTTGATTTTGTGAAGTTTTTGTTTTTGTTTTTAACACTTTTTAGATTCTAAATCCATGATGGTTCTTTGCAGCTGGGAAAAATGTTGTAATGAGAGAAACCAGTTGTCTCTTTCCAGAGCTCCACTGTGGGGTAGATGAAGGGAGAACCTTTCCTACCTTTAAGACAGACGCTATCACAAAAACAGATTCACAGTCTAGGTGTACTTCAACTCCAGAATTCAGTTTCTCTTTTAGCTCTCTGCAGGATTTCACATTGGCCGATTGTCTGAAGATCCCTTTTGTGAGAGGTCCTTTTTGATTAAGAAAGAAAAGCATATCCTATAAGGAAAGCAAAGGAAAAAACCAAAATGGCACTTCACAGATACAAGCAGGGGAAGACATACTTGCCCTCTCTGGCCGCCAGAGGCTGGGGTGTCCCAGGGGAAAAGCACTGAAGGAGGGGCTGCTGTAAGGACGGAAGTCAGTTTGTGTCTTGGTATCTCTAAATCTCTTTCCCCTACTTATTCTTGCTATATTCAACATCTAAAACATTTTACTTTAATGGGACTGTCTTTTGTTCAATGAACCAACACTTTAAAATAAACTTTCTCTGATTGCTTCAAGGTCCCTGTAAACTTGTGTCCCTCCTTCCCTCACTCCTCTTTTCCTATTATTCTCTAATTTGGACTCTTTCCTCCAAATATGGAGATATTCTTGCCAGACTCATTCTCCACTTGTTTGTCTTTCTTTTTATGTGACTCCATACCTCATTCTACTTCCTGTATTTACTTCATTCTTTTAAAATCAGGCTAAAAAAGTCACCTCTTCCAGGAAGCTTTCTCCACTCCACTGCACTGTGATCAATCTTTCATTTTGCTTTCTTTCTAGCAAAGAAATGTCCTCTGCCTGTGGTGTAGGAAGGAGAATGGGTGCTGGGGACAAGCAACCCAAGGGATCTGAAACCTAGTTATGGCACATATTTACTCTGTGAACTTTGGAAAACTTGAGGCCTTTTAAATGTGTAAAGTAGGGATGGTGGTAGTGATAATAAATGCTCAATCCACTGTGCAGGGTGAGCACGAAAGCGGCGAGGGGAGCGGGCGGCATGTGTCAGAGCATGATGTAGGGTCAAGTCCTGTATGTCCCGTATGTCCCGTATGTCCAGTACAGTGCTTGCAGGATACGGAATGCTCAGTGGATGCTGCTGAGCAGCAATCATTTCATAAATCAAGGACACAGTACAAACTCAGTGGTTTCATCTGACCTGTTCTATTATGAAAGGTAACTAAATGCCAGAGGATGTACAAGTGTAAACACCTGAAATACACATAAGACACACGTCAGATTTTTAAAAAGTACAAGAAAGAGTAGTTTCTGCTTCTAGAGTGATTAAAGGAGGCTTCCAGAACAATGCAGAGTTCCTGAAAGGCTGTGAGAGAAATGTGGGGGATAACGGGACTCCAGTGTGGACTCTGCCTACAGAGCCAAACTCTGATTTATCTGAGCAGGCTTATGTGGCTCCTTCCTGACACCAGCAGCCTACATGATCTCTCCCCATTATGTCTCCCTTAGGATTCTGCAATAGCTTAATCAGATTTTTTTCCTTTGAAGTAATAATAATATTCTCAGGCAAAGCCAAAGCCGTGTCTACAATTTTTCCATTTAAGAATAGGTTACCTCCCAGGGTTCTCCTTCCCCATTAGTGTCACAGGCCAAAACGAGACTCACCAAGACAGGTTTAGGCAGATTGTCATTCTCACAAATATCTGGGAGAGAGACTCCAAAGAGCTGGCCTGGCATAGGAGATGTTGGCGACATGGGCAAGTTATCCAGATGAGTGCTAGAACCACGCCAGAAGGCCCAGTTTATGATAGATCGTCTCCTTTTAAATGTCTTCTGACCTGAATCTAAGGAAGAAGTGAGATTAGTAGGAAAACTATTTTAATTCACTTAGTCTTATTTTTATAGTTTCCAATTTACAGGATATTCATTACTATGGTTCAAAGAGAAAAATGCTTATAGATGTCCTTTGTTACTGACAATTCAATCTAAGAAATTTCACGGTAATATTTCATAACTTAAGGAAAAGTCAAATATTTGGATTATTCTCCATCCCATTTTTGGAACATCACTGGTCTGTTTGAGTTTTGGCACTGAACTTTCAAAGGCAAAGAAAAGCCTCTCTTTACTGTAATAACTTAAAGTAAAAGGTGTTTCATACCAACACATATATTATCCCATTTTAAAATGAGACGAGACATACTAAGAAGTTGAAGATTAAAATCAGACCACAGTTAAATGGTGAGAAAAAGAAGGGAAGAGGGAGGAAAAGGAGGAGGGAGAAAGAGAAGAGAAAGGCAAGAAGGAAGAAGAGGAGAAGGAAGAGGGAGGAAAAAACCAAGAGTTGTCTTTATTAAGATGTTCTCTAGAAACAAATAATGCTTTATTACATGATGTCCCTCTCTACTGCTGAAAACAAAGACAGGAAGCTAATGTTCTACAATTCTACCATCTCCCCTTCTTTCCAACTGCAAAGACTTTTTTTAAGTTAACTTTTTTTTAAAGATTTATTT